CCCAGCCACGGCCCCTGCAGGAAGCCCCCTCCCCTGCAGCCCCAGAATCCCCTGCGTGTGCCGAGATCTCCCACTCTGCAGCCCCACGGATGACGCTGTGGGATCGCATCCTCCAGCTGGAGCCGGATCGCAGCAGAGCCCAGAGCCCCACCTGCCGACTGGCCCGGCTGGTGCCGGGTGACACTGGAGGGAGAACTGGCAGCTCCCTGGACAGGGACTGGCCCAGGCCCCATCGGCCACAGAAAGCAAAGTGGGCAGCGGGAAGCCCTGGCAGTGCTGGGAAAGCCGCAAGAGCCCCAGGAGGTGACAAAGAGCACCCCCAGTCAGAACCAGAAGGTGCTGCGTGTGTCCCAGCCGCATTCCGGTCCGGCTGGGAGCGGGCAGGAGCTCTGGTGATGAACACCTCTGCAGAGCCACTCTCCCCCAGACCACCCCCCAGCAGCCCCGTTAAAACACGCAACTCCCACCCTACACCCTCAAAGGGTCCCTGCGCTGCGGGAGCGGAGCGAGGAGCAACCCCGGATTCATGTGTTCCTGGCCCAGGCTCAGCGCTCCAGGCCACGCCGCTGCCGTGCCCAGCGGGAGACACGTTTAGTGGAGGAAGGGAAAGGAGAGCTCGCACCCCACACGCAGAGCCAGCAAACAAACGGCTGTGGGGCAGCCCACGCACACCCTGGCGAGCTTTGGGAAAGCCGATGCCCATCCCTCCGGCATCAGGTCACTGGAAGCCATTCCCTCAGAGGTGTCTAGAGCTGGCTAGCCAGCCAAGGGGCTCAGGGGGCCAGCGACACCCCCCCAACCACCCGAGGGTGTCTGTGCAGCACTACCAGGTCACCAAAAAGCTTCCTCCGTGCTGCGCTACCAGGCCCAGGCACTGTCCCCACCCCAGCCTGGGCCCTCACAGGGCTCCTCCAGCTCCTCGCCTCGGGTCCGACGCTCATTTTGCCCATTAGGCTCCACAAAATCTATCTGGATCTCCTGATGCCGCTCCTCCGGAGAGCTTAGAGCTAGCACCCTGCAACACCAGCTGTGTGGCTGAGCCTACCAGGAAGGGCAAACTCCATGGAGGAGGTGCTAAAAAAAAACAAACAGAGGAGCCATTCCCATGGGACAACGGGAGAGGGGCCGGCAGGAGAAAGGGGCCGGGGGTGGGTGCAGAACCAGGGAATACCCGGCTGGAGAGAGGCTGCTCCCAGCCCATGGAGCTCTAGCACCCTGCAACACCAGCTGTGTGGCTGAGCCTACCAGGAAGGGCAAACTCCATGGAGGAGGTGCTAAAAAAAAACAAACAGAGGAGCCATTCCCATGGGACAACGGGAGAGGGGCCGGCAGGAGAAAGGGGCCGGGGGTGGGTGCAGAACCAGGGAATACCCGGCTGGAGAGAGGCTGCTCCCAGCCCATGGAGCTGCTCCGTCAGCTTGGGGGAGCAGACAGCCCTGGCCAGAAGCAGGGTTGTTCTCATGTCCCGCATCTCCCCTCCCTGCAAGATCCCAGACAACTCCCCACCCCAGCAGCTGGGGGTGGCAAGGGGGGCCCAGTGCAGTTCTGCCCACCCCTAATTCTGCCCCCCTGAAGTGGGTCAGAGCATCCAGGCGTGGAGGCAGCAGGGGCAGGGCTTGCGCACGCACGGGTGGGCCAGTGCAGCTCCTGCCCAGACCGAGCTCCCAGTTCTCCCAGCGCAGCGGGAGGCTGGGGAGGTGCTGCCCCGGGGAGGGCACAGCAGCCCTGCGGCAGGCGAAGGGGGTTACCTCCGGATGGTTTTGGCAGGCAACTGGCTCCGACCCATGCACTCCAGCAGGGCGGCGTAGGAGTCCAGGTTGGGCCGGAGGCCGACGGACTCCAGCATGGAAAACAGCTGGCTGATGTGCTGCAGCTGGCCCTGCGGACAAGAAGGGACGGAGGCTGAGGACCAGCAGCAGCCCCAAATCACGGCTTCCCATCCCTCTGCTCCTGTTCAACTTTATCCTGCCTCATCCCTTTCTACCCCTCAAAGCCACCTCACAGCAACCAGTGGCCCCGTATCGCTCCATCCCTCTCAGCAGAAGCCAAGCCCTCTTTGAGCACTTGCTGAAGGCAGATGTGACGGGGCAGATAAACCATGATCACTGCTTCTCCAAGCAGGAGACTCTTCCTCCCGAGGCAGCCTCCCTCTCCCTCCCTGAACACTTGACAGGCAGGCCAGGGCAGCAGCCCGCAGCTCGGTACCTTCCTGGCCCAGCTACGCATCACGATGTTGTACGCGTTGACGTTCAGAAGCTTTCTCTTCGCAGGGGATCTGTGGTACAAGAGTAGGAACCTCTCGGCCTCCTCTGGCTGCTGCAGGAAGAGGTAGCATTCCAGGTTGGACTGGATGGTCTGCTGCAGGATCTTGTACTGGCTGCTGTCCTTGTTGTCCAGCCCCTGCTGAAGCCTCTGCGCCCTTATAGCCACCACCCAGGGCTTGACATAGGCATAGGCACTGCGGAAGCCAGCGCGGCTCTGGCTCCAGGCACCGGCCGCTTTAGCCTTTGAGCTCTTGAGCTTCTTGGCTTTAGCTTTCCTCTTGCACTTTGGTTTGACCTTGATTTTTTTCCCCAGAGCCAGCTGGGAGGCAGCGACGGATAACTTCTGCTCCACCTTCAGTTGCCGAACATGCATCTCCTCCTTTAACTTCTCGACCCAGTTGATGGGCCGGGCTGCGCTCTCTTCCCTTCCCCTGGCAGCGGCGGGTTGCTCCTCCGCGGGGCCAGCAGTCACCACATTCCGCAGCGGGTCCAGGTACTTGTCACTCCCCAGCGGGGCCAGCTCCACTTTGCTGACCGTCACCTCTGGGACATGACCGGCTTGGAGCTGCTTCGCTCGAGCTTTCAGCACTGCCGGGAAACACACAGCAGGGGAGAGGTGAGGGGACGGGGGGCATGGCAGAAGACTCTGTCCTGCCCCAGGGCATCACCTCCCAGAGCCCCCAGGAACATGCTTAGGAAAAAGGGGGCCGCACAAAGATTTCTCCCATCCTTGGCCACTGGTTGCTTTGAGCGTGGCCTTGCCAGGACCCACCCACATGCTGTGGATACCCCAGCATCCCGGGGAACCCAACAATGTCACTGCAAGAGAAAGAGCACCAGCTCACGCTTGTCTAACCTGCTGCCTGGTCACTTCACTGGGCCTCTCTCCAAGGGCCTCATGCCCTCAGCTCACCCTGGCAGAGAGCCCAGAGCAGGTTCCAGGCCAGTCTGCAGGGCCCTTGCACGCCCTGGAGGGAACCTTCTACCATTCCTTAGGGCCACTCTGCCTTTTACAGCAACTCAACACTTTCTGGGGGTAGGATGGGCCTCCAGGCCCTTGGGACCGGACAGAACTTGCCCAAGGAGGCCAGCAACCCCACGTCCTTGTCCAGGCTACAATTATTTCTAGACCCAAACATCATCTTTATGGCTACATGGAACAGGAGGACTCCTAGAAAACCTCCCAGAACACCAAACAGGGGAAACCCCTGCAGCTCTCCCAGCCCTCCCGGACTCACCTTCCAGCAGCTGCGTCCTCTCGCAGATGGCATTTCTCCTCGCCTTCTCCTTGGCGCTGGCAGAGTAGTTCCTGAGAACGCTCCATGAAACTCCTGCAGCAGAAAGACACAGAGACCAGGAGATCAGAGGGTATTTCACCCCTTACACCGCTCGCTGTCCCACGCCATGGCTGGGCCCCACTGGGTGCGGAGAGGCGAGAGCAAGCGATGTTTGAGCTCAGCCTGTGGGTCCCAGCAGTGCCACAGAAGGGCGGGGGGCAGCTCTGTCAGTGACAGGGACACGTCCCCCTCACGCCTGGCTCTCTCGTAGGGAACACGACCACAGGGACACCATGAACCAGCACAGGCTGGATGAGGCTTGGAGCAACCTGGTCTGTGGAAGGTGTCCCTGCCCATGGCAGGGGGTGGGACTGGGTGGGCTTTAAGGTCCCTTCAACCCAAACCATCCCATGATTCTATGATAACCCTAGCGCTGTGGCGTGGGGTGACAAGGCCCCAGCAACCCCCAGAGCAGGCAGACTCTATCCCACAGGGCGGGCAGCGCCCCAGAGACCCCCAGGGCTTCTCCCGAGGCCTGGCCCCAGGACACAGCCC